TGGCACTCAGTCAGTCCTCATAAATGAGTGTTGTGTGAATGGATGGGTGGTTCTGCCAGTTCCCCATGCCTTCCTTCGATCGGTTCTTCACCCTCCACACGGGGCCTGGCATACAGTAGGCACCAAATAACTTAGGTAGAGTGACCTCGTGAAAACTAGAGCTTTGAGCCATGAGGATTTTTCTGTTGAACTTTCAGCCCAGCCCTGCCCAGGCTCTTCCCGTTTGGCCAGGCCTTCGTTAGTTGGGGTGTTAGGGGGCCAACAGGCAGAGGATGAGATTGTGGATTCGGGGGGGCGTGGGCAGGGAACAAGGTGACAGGCTGTCTCTTTGGCTGGCGTGGGCCACCTTCTCCTCGGGGAGGCCCACTCCAGCCAACAGTGAGAGGATGGAGCAGGGGGCGGGAGTCACGCAGATTCAGAGCGCGCATACGGAGCACCGAGTGGGCTCAGGCCGCGCGCTCCAGGGGCCGCAGCAGGTCCACAGTCACAGGAACTCTGGTGGTGGCCCTAGCTCCGCTCCTTCCTGGCCTCAGTGCTCTGTGCCTCAGTCTCTCCCTCCAGACAGTGGGCACCATCAGTGCTCAGCCTTGCGAGGCACAACATTTCTCCTGGAACACCATGGCCCTCTGGCTCCGCCCCCATCCTCTTCCTGGGGCGCCAGGGGGAATAGGACACCCAGGGCTCACCCTTGCTGTCAGTGGGGTTTTCACTCTGGTTTGTTTGCCAGAATTCCTCTCCTTGGCCTGGCCCATCAGGTCCCGCCCAGCCAGCCTGGGTCCCCTCCCTGCCCTCAGCGCCCCTCCTCTCACTCCTGTTCCCTCGGCCACGCTCCCCTGCCTCCTCGCTGTTCCTACGGGGCGTGAGGCACGGTCCGGGTGCTGCTTCTCCCCCAGAAGCTCCTGCTCTGGGCTGTCACCTTCAGGGGCCCTGTCCTCTGAGAGACCCTTCCCGACCTCCCCGCTAACACACACCGCCCCCCACATCCCCTCCCCCCTGGCCCCTCACACTCCTTTGCACTCAGTGCAGCCTGATGTTTTATCGCCTCCTTGTTGGCTTGTTTAGTGTCCATCCTGCCATAGGATCTGCATGAGGGCCGAGCCCAGGTGACTTCTGGGCCCCAGCACCCTGCACACAGCAGGCACGCAATGAGTGCTTGGTGAGCAGCTGAATGACTCTCTCTCATTAGATAAGAGCTATCCATCTGCTCTGAGCTTGGGGGGGGGGGGGGGTTAGCCTAGGTTAGGAACCCTAACTCTGGCGCCAGGTGGGTCTGCGTTCACATATGAGCTCTGCTGTCTGCCATTTCACTGGGCTCTCCCGGAGAAGGGCACACGGGGACCAGGGCTTCCAGGGATGCATAGGAGTTTGGGTTGAGCACTTAGGACGTGGGAGAGACGGATTCCCAGTGGCGTTTGCTGAGTTGCTGAGTGAACGAAGGAGGGAGAATCCTTCCGGAAATGCTTTTGGAGTGGGAATGGGAGTTCCTCGTGCTGCCTGCTGTGTTGCCCTGGACTGTCGGGGTGGGCGGGACACGGGGGGCGGGAGGGGCACAGCCAGGGCACAGTTGTCCAGTCCATAGGCCCAGCAAGGGCTCAGACCCAGTGCCTACCTCCAAGCTGCCGCTGCCCATTGGAGGGCCAGTGGGCCTTCTGGGGAAGGCCTAGTCTCGTTCCACCTCCCTCCACTCTGGTTACCAGGCCACAGGCAAGCCCCCCAACTCTCCCCCCAACCCCCCACCCCCGCCTGGCCGCAGTGTCCCCCCTGCCCATTGTACAAAGGGAGCCTGAAGCCCGAGGACGAAGGTGAAAACGGAGGCTAATGTCGCCCACAGGCCTGCCTCGTCCTGAGTGCCTCAGCCCCAGGGCTTGAGGTTAGAGGAGGAGCAAGAGCTGAACTCAGACTCCACAGCTTGTGTGGCCCAGGCGAGGTCTGAGGGAACCTTGAGGAGAGCTGAGAGCTGCATGAAGGAAGGAACACTGGAAACAGGGCTTTGAGGGGTGTGTAGGAGTTTGGGAGCCTGCCTGGCGGCCTGTGCCCTGTCAGCCAGCGGGGGCATGGGGAGGTGCCTGCGGAAGAAGCCCTGGCTGTTGCGGGTTTTGTGGGACGAGAGTGACAGGCGGCCTCTCATCTGGTCTGACCTCCCTGGGAGGACAGGGAGGACAGGGCCACAGGTCCACGACCCAGTTACGGACTGTTTGTCTTCCTCCGACCAGGACCAGCTGGGGTCACTGGTGACGTGGGCTCCCACCCCTGCTCTCCTCTGGCACCTTTCCCCAGAGAGGGTGTGGAGATCAGGGGGGAGGAGGGAGGGAAGGGCTCAGAGAGAGAGGGAAGGAGCTGGAACAAGGTTGGGGGCTCAGAGAAGAGGGGCCACGACGCAGAAAAGGAATTGAGTTGAGAAGTGGGGAGGTGTCCCTAGAGGATGGTGTCAGGGGAGGAGGAGTCTGGGGCCTGGAGCCCGCCCCTGCAGGTGACACCCAGCTGCCTCTTCCCAGCCCCCTCTTATCAGGGCACAGTGCTCACCAAACTGGGCGGCAGCCACAGCCCAGCGTCAACTCTGCTGCCCTGGCACCCCCTCCACAGGGCAGTGACTCCCTGTGCCCGGGTCCCCGGCCAGAGGGCCTGGGCTCTGGGCCCTGCTCTGCGGACTGGCTGTGTGCCCCTGGGCAAGTGGCTCCCCGTCTCTGGGTCTGGCACATCAAAGGGCATCCAGGCACAAGGCAGGCAACCGGGGTGGGACGGACGGACGGACGGGCAGGAGATGGCCCCTCGGTCCTCTCCCTGCCTCCACAGGTCAGCGGGCTGGGGCGGCACCGAGGGCCCCGGTCCAGGCCCTGCCAGTTGTTCCAGTGACTCATGCTCCAGGGCACTTTGGAGTGGGGATCTGGGCACACACGCTGAGCCCCTCGCAAGCCACCCTGGCCAGGGCCGGAGGCTATTTTCAGAGCCTCGGTATAGGTGAAATCTGAGGCCCTCCCCTTCCCCCAGCACCCGGTGGCCGGAGATGGCTCTGAGGGAGATGAAGCACTGAGCAGGGAGGGGGTGCCAGCCGGGGGTACCCTGGTCTGGAGGTGGGACCGAGCCCAGCCACACCCACCTCGAAAGCAAACCGGGATCCCAGAGCAGCTGTTTCTGGCTCAGAGACCCCAGCCTGGCAGAAAGCAGGCTGCTCTGAGAAAGGGGCCCGATGGCCTCCTCAGGGTGGGAGGCCTGGGTCCTCATTCTCACACAGGCTCTGAGAGCGGGACCTCCACCAGGTCTCCACCCCTCTCTGAGCCTCAGTTTCCCCATCCCACAATGTATAGCAAAGCCATGGGCCTTTTCCTGCCCCTGGGAAGATTGTAAGCAACCAAAACATTGTAGCAATGTCCATAATAATAGTAATAGCTAATGCAGCCTTTGAGAGCGGGGCAGATCACGGGTTCACAAGCCAGGAAGAGATGTCACCCCATTCAGGAAGCCTAGCACAGTCCCGGAAGAGTAAGACCGATGTTTCTCTCCTGTCTTCCTTTCCCCTGGAATGTCCCACTCCCTGAGCCCGAGGAACCAGGTCCCGGATGTTCTGCAGCCCGTTTCCCTTGCTAGAAAACGGAGAGAATGACACAGTCCTAGAAAGGGATGGGGCTTCCCATGTGGCTCTCCAAGGAACCCTACTGGGGTTTTGTGGAGAAAGTCAGGTGGGTGTGGGGTCTGGTCCCAGCCCCTCATGACTGGGTCCCCTCGTGCAGTCTCTGTTTCCTCGTTGTGGGCCCAGCAACACTCCTTAGGCACAATGGCAGGGAGGTGTTGAAGTCATAGCTCTGGCCAGGTCTCAGCCTCCCCAGACTCAGTTTTTCCATCTGTGGAATGGGTCTGTGGGGAGGGGGAGGGGAACTGACCCCCAGGGGGCCTCTCTCTAACTCTGAACCTCCATGGCTGAGCTCCCCTGTCTAGTGTATTCTGACCTGTGTCTCCGGCCTCAGCTTTCCTGGGCCCTTCACTGGGCCTGTGCAGGAGCCCCCACCACCAGCCCCTGACATCCAGGTGTCCTAGTCGAGGCCTGTGGGCCTCAGCCCTCATTTTTCCCTCAGTGCCAAAGGCCAGTAGAGGCAGCCCTGGACCCCCATCTGGTGTCAGCTTCCTCTGCCGAGCAGTGGGTCTGAGAAAGGAGCCCCAAGCACTATTCTCCAAGCCTGGTTTTTCCTGCAGTCATTGAGGACCCACTGTGTGCTCGGCCCTGCTCTCAACAGTAGAGCTCACACTACACCCTGGGGCCGGATGCCAGCCACCTGTTTTTGTCAATAAAGTTTTATTGGAATACTGCTCTGCCCGTCATTCACATCTTACCTATGTTGCACTTACAGGGTAGAGTGGAATTCTGGCAACTAAAATATTCACTGTCTGTTCTTATGGTACTTTCAAACCCCATTTCTAGAAGGCAGAGAATGGATCCATGACATCCTCACTCTCCTGACCTCAGTTTTCCCATCTGTACAATGGGTCCCCATCGGTCTCCACCTGGAACCCTCAGCTTGTCCTGTTTTGAGGTTCAAGACAGTTTCCCATGAATGCCTTTCTTTTTTTCTAATTAAATTTTTATTGATCTCAGGGAGGAAGGGGGGGGGGAGAAATACAAACATCAGTGGTGAGAGAGACTCATTGATCTGCCGCCTCCTGTATACCCCACACTGGGAATGGAGCCCGCAACTCTGGCAGGTGCCTTGACCAGGAATCCAACCGTGACCTTTGGGTTCATAGGTCAGTGCTCAACCACTGAGCCATGCTGGCCGGGCCATGAGTGTCTTTCTCGGCCTGGGCTTCCCATCTCATCCCGGCCTCCGTTTCCCCACATGGGCAGTGAGTTCTCACCTGTCCCCCCCCCCCCCCCGAACTTCTGCCGGGTCCCTCCAGCCTTCCCCGGGAGGTGGAGGGTCGCAGTGCTCCCCTGCCTCCCCCTCCTCCGCGGCCGGTCCTGGGTGCCCGGCGCCTGCTGACCGCCCGCCTCTCCCTCCCGCCCGCAGGATGAGTTCCACCCGTTCATCGAGGCGCTGCTGCCTCACGTGCGCGCCTTCGCCTACACCTGGTTCAACCTGCAGGCGCGGAAGCGCAAGTACTTCAAGAAGCACGAGAAGCGGATGTCCAAGGACGAGGAGCGCGCGGTGAAGGACGAGCTGCTGGGCGAGAAGGCCGAGGTGAAGCAGAAGTGGGCGTCCCGGCTGCTGGCCAAGCTGCGCAAGGACATCCGGCCCGAGTGCCGCGAGGACTTCGTGCTGGCCATCACCGGCAAGAAGGCGCCGGGCTGCGTGCTCTCCAACCCCGACCAGAAGGGCAAGATGCGCCGCATCGACTGCCTGCGCCAGGCCGACAAGGTGTGGCGGCTGGACCTGGTCATGGTCATCCTCTTCAAGGGCATCCCGCTGGAGAGCACCGACGGCGAGCGCCTGGTGAAGGCGGCCCAGTGCGGCCACCCGGTGCTCTGCGTGCAGCCGCACCACATCGGCGTGGCCGTCAAGGAGCTCGACCTCTACCTGGCCTACTTCGTGCGCGAGAGAGGTGAGCGGAGGAGGTGGGGTGCGAGGGAGGAGGTGGGGTGCGAGGGAGGAGGTGGGGTGCGAGGGAGGAGGTGGGGTGGCTGCGTGCAAGGGAGGAGGTGGGCTCGTGTCCAGGGGAGGGGGTACCGACACCAAGGTGACCAGATGTCCCGCTTTTGGCGGGACAGTCCCGATTTCTAACCATTTGTCCCGCATCCGGCAGCGTTTTACGCTGCGGGACGCGGGACAAATGGTTAGAAATCGGAGGACAAATTGTTAGAAATCAGGACTTTTTTATTTTTTTTATTTTTTATTTTAAAATATATTTTATTGATTTTTTTTTTTTTTTTTTTACAGAGAGGAAGAGAGAGGGATAGAGGGTTAGAAACATCGATGAGAGAGAAACATTGATCAGCTGCCTCCTGCACACCCCCTACTGGGGATGTGCCCGCAACCAAGGTACATGCCCTTGGCTGGAATCGAACCGAACCTTTCAGTCCGCAGGCTGACGCTCTAACCACTGAGCCAAACCGGTCTCGGCAAATTGGGACTTTTTTTTAAAAAGGTTGCGGGACAAATTATTGGAAATCGAGACTGTCCCACCAAAAGCCGGACGTCTGGTCGCCTTAATCTACACACAGTTGGGGTGGGGAGGCCGGCCTTTGAAGGTCAGAGGGAGAGGCAGCCCTGCGCCCTCGGGGTGGGGCCGTCGCAGGGGAGTCTAAGGGGGGATGCGGGCCTACAGTGGGGTTCGAGAGAAGGTCTCGGGGGGGTAGATGTGACTCGAGGAGAGCGTGAGCGGGAAAGCGGGTTTGCCCTGAGAATCGGAAGGTAGAGGCCTCGGTGTCTGAGGGGCTGGCATGCCCTTGGCGGCTCGGGAGGCGAGACCCTGGCCCAGGTCTGATGGGCAAACCGTGGCCTGCTGGGAACAGGGATGAGGACAGGAGAGTGACGGGTGGGAGACCGTTGGCTGGTGAACACGCTGGTCCCTCTGGGGAAAGCTGGGAGCCTGCTGGGAATGCTGGTGGATGGACACTCAGACCTCCAGCAGAGGCCCAGCAGGGCACACCTTTGTGCTGCGAGTGGGAGGCTTGGGTGCTGTGTGACTCTGGCTAGGTCACCACCCTCTCTGGTCCCTAGCACCCCCAGCTCTGGCCCTTTTCGCTGGGTGTTTGCGGGCTCTGTGGTCAGACGCCTGAGGCTGAGCCGGGCAGGGGTTGTGAGCGTGCAGCCAGTCCACGGCAGCTTCCGGGAAGAGGAAATGAGGCTGAGCTGAGCTCTGCAGGATGGCTGGGCCGTGGCGGGCACGAAGGGATCCCGCAGTCAGCAGCCTGGGCGGAGATGGAGAGGCCAGATACTGGTCCAGCCTCTGGAGGTCACAGGTGCCGGTGGCCAAAGCCGGGGCCGCTGCTTCCGGTCTGCGTGTCTGTGATGAGGCTGGATATCTCACAGTTCTGTGCCTCCGTTTCCCGCCTCTGTGCTGGCTCCTGTCAGTGGTATAAGGACCAGATGAGTCTGTGGAGCTCCAGGTCTCCAGGGTGTGTAGGAGGGAGAGCCAGACAGAATTTCCCGGTTTTGACCTTGACCCCATCCGCCCCTTGCCCTGCCAGCACCAATTAGTAACAAGCCGACTGGGGCAGCCCTGAAGCTGTGCGGAGGCGGAGAAGCAGAGGAGGTGCCGGTCTCAGGCAGGGGGCAGGGGGCAGGGGCCGCCCTGGCTCATTACCATGCAGGTCCAGGTCTCCCCCTCCACATTCATCCTCCGCCCAGCCCCACCCCCACCCCCTCTGAGCTGAGCTGATAAAATTTTGAAGCAGAGTTTTCTGCCAGCGTCAGCACAATCTCCAGGCGCCGCCCCTCCCCCACAGACCCCCTCCCCCTCTCAGCTCAGCAGGCAAACTAGGCCTCCAGGCCTCCCCAGACACCTTCAGGCCCCACTTCGAGCCTCTGTTGGCCAATCTGGTCAACCTCCTTGAACGAGGGCCAGGAGAGGTCAAGGCTACCAGCCTCCCCTGCTTCCAGCCGACTCCATTATCCCAGGGGAATCCCTGCTCGCACTGGACCCGGCTGCCCCAGCCCCAGCTGGCCAGCGTGGGGGTGGAGCATGAGAACTGGGCTTGGATTCCAGCCCTCACTCAGCTGCCTGCCGCTGGGTGACCCGGGGACAAGTCACTTAACTTCTCTGTGCCCCGTTTTCTCGTCTGTAAAACGGGAAGCTCAGAAATAACTGCCTGTGGGGACACTGGGAACTCACAGCTGTGGAAGACAGCACCGGGCATGGAGCGAGGGCTCCATGGGTGGTGATTGTACATCCTCGTCACCATGACGATTTCGCATCGCCAGGCCTTTGCCCCTGCTGTTCCCGCTGCCTGGAATGCCTTTCCCGTGTGGAAAACTCCTACTTATGCTTCAAAACGCCAACTCCTAGCGCCACTGTCTCTGTTAGGCAGTGTTCGCGATGGCTTAGCAGTTCTCTCCCGTTTTTCCGGCAGCCCAGTGAGGAGAAAGCATTGTGATACCTATTCACAGGAAGGAAATGGAAGCTCGAAGGAGGGCTGCCCAAGGTCACGCAGCCCAGGAAGGGAGACGTGGTATTTGGATAGAGGCAGCTTCTGAGCGGACACACCCCCTCCAGCCTGCCTCACTCGACGGCAGAAAGGGGTGAAGGGAAACTGGTTTGCAGTATGGGCAGCCAGTCATCCGGCTTGGCCACCCCCAGGCTGGGTCTGGGATCCAGGCTTCCCGAAGCCAAGGCTGCCCCAGAACCCCTTGCTGAGCCCCAGTTCCCTGCCCTTTTCCCCGGGACCCTGGTCCTTGTTCTGGGCCAGAGTCAAGTCTGTTCTTGGTCAGGAGGGTGTCAGTCCAATGGCAGAGAGAACTGTGGGGTCCAGGGCTGGAGGGCCCCAGCATCGGCCGGAGCACAGTGTCCGCTTTGCTCAGCCTGACTGGGGGCGTGGGATCGATGAGGGGGTGCGGGCGGGCCTCAGTTGGCCTCGAGGTGTTCAGGGTGGATGAGGAGGAGAGCACCTGTTGTACAGCTGAATGGAGGTACCACCTCCGACATCAGAAGTGGGGCCTCAGAACCAATAGACAGACAGGCAGACACACACACACACACACACACACACACACACACATGCAGACAGAAGCATGGAAAGACAGATGGACCCAGAGACATGGAGAGACACAGAGACTCGGAGGCACCACACATGCCTGCCCTCTCAGCCCTTTCCTGTCCTTGGACAAGGCCTGCTCCCACCCCCCAGCCTCTCCATCTCTCCCAAAGGGTGTCAGGTGGACTCGTGGGGCCGCACCCCAAAGGGGAATCCCAGGCCTCCATCCCGGGGTTTATTTTGAGGGACGTTGGGGTGGAGAGCAGCTACGAGAAGGTTCCTTTAGTACCAGACTGTTAGAGCCGAAGGGCACCTCTTGGACCCAAATTTGGCTGCCCAGGCGTCCATCTGGCACACCATGGCCATCGGAGCCTGGTTCCAGGGACTGGTCACCGTGTGTGCCCGGGGCCAGCTGCAGGGCCTGTAATGAGGGGTGATGAGAGCTTCCCCCTGGGACATTGGGGACCGCCTGCTACACGAGTGCACTTGGGGTGGGAGGTGCCCCGAGCAGGGGGTGAGGAGGCTGGCGGTTCACAGCTCAGTGAAAAAGAACGAGATGGCAGGGAACCAAGCAGGAGAGGGTGCACTCCGGACAGGGAGGAGCTCTTAGGGGAGGTCACGTTTGAGGTGAAGGAGAGGGAGGCCGGAGGGATCGAATGAGAGTGCACCAGGCAGGGGCACAGCCAGTGCAAAGGCCCGGGGGCCGGAACGGCCCAGACGCAGGCGTTGGTGGGGAGGGCGGTGATGAGGGCGATGGGGAGGCCGGGAGCAGTGAGCCTGCTGCTCTCCGGCCTGCCCTGCGTTTGGGAAGGCGCCTGGAGGAAGCAGGGCCCAGAGAGGGAAGCCGCCTGCCCAAGCCTGAAGCCCAGCCAGGCCTCCCTGCCCCCTCTGGCGGCTTGAGAAACCTGAGGCTGGTGGGGCACCGTGCCAGGGGTGGGCAGGGGAGGGGCTGCCAGGCCTGCCGGCTCCAGGCAGCTGCCAGCCCGCCCCAGCCACAGCCCAGCTGGTGCCCATTTGCTGACGCTGCCCTGGGCCAGCCTCCTGCTCCCGCCTTGTGCCGTGCCAACCTCCCTGAATGGCGCTGTGGGCAGGGGCCAGCTTGGGAAGCTCGCAGTGCAGCGGGATGCCCAGGGTGCCCCAGGAGGGGGACAGGAAAAACTGGGGGGAACCCCAACTCCTCCTGGATGGAACCGGGAAGCAGTAATGACAACAAAGTTAATAGGAGCTGTGAGCACATACTGAGTGCCCTCTGTGTGCCCAGTTCTGGGCCCGTTCCACCATCTCAACCGGTTTAATCCTCTCCAGCTCCCTGGGAGGGAGGGAACTTCTCCCGTTTCCCATAGAGACAGGGATCCAGAGATGGGCAGACACTTGCCCAAAGTCACGCAGCCTGTAAGAGGCCGAGCAGAATTAGAACCCATGGAATTGGAGTCCTCAAAAACCCCTAAAAGAAAAAAACCAAAAACCGCTTCTGAGGTTATCGAGGGACCCACACCCCTGAGTGGCACAGATGATAAAAAGGGCCGGCCCTGAGCACGTAGTGAGTGAAGGAGCCACATGATTAAGTACCTGCTGCCCTGGGCATTGTGGCCCAGTGGATGGAGTGTCCGCCTGCCGACTGAAGGGTCCCCGGTTTGATTCCGGTCCAGGGCACGTACCTTGGTTACAGGCCTTGATTGCCTGCTTGATCCTGGGCCCTGGTGTGGGCGTGTGTCTCTCTGGTATTGACGTTTCTCTGTGTGTCTCGGTCCCTTCCTTCCACTCTAAAGAATCAGTGGGAAAATATCCTTGGGGGAGCCCATGATTACCAACTACAACAAATGTACCTGCTGTGCCCAAACATGCCAAGGTCTCCACAAAGAGTATTGTGGGCTGGAGTGAGGGGACTTCGGTCAGCCACAGCTCTGTG